GAGAGAGAGAGAGAGAGAGAGAGAGAGAGAGAGAGAGAGAGAGATGCTGCGGTTCCCTGCTGGCCTCTCTCCCCTACTTAGGCCAAAGCAGAACCGGAGACCTCAGGGAAGCAGCAGGAGAAAGCAGAGAGGCCATGTAGCCAAGGGGAGGCAGAGTTCCCTCAACTCAGCGTTAGCTCTCTGCCCCGACCCCCAGGGCTTCAGAAGGACCCTGTGTGAGGCAGATCCTTGCCTCATAGCCCCGGGATGGGAATTCATTTCCAAGATGATAGTGTGATAGTGCCCAGGGCTCACCTTTTTAAAGTGAGCAGTTGAAAAGTGAGGTGTCTAGTAATATGTTGGTGTGGAGGGAGTGAGTACATGCCTCTTACATCCTTTTTCTCTTCCGTTCCTCAAGCCAAGGGTCATAGGCGAGAGGCATATCCACTGATCAGGTTTGTAACTCCTGATCCTGACGAGTTCAAAGAACATCAAAGCTGTGGCCAGGGACACCACACTTTCCACTTAACCAACGTGATTGAAGCACTGACTCTCCTAATAGTCTTGGAAAGCAGGCAGCTTCTAACCTTAAGTTCCCAGGAGGAGTTGGGGAGCCGACCGACAAGGGACTTGATTGGATGTGTGTTACCAGCCCCGAAGAGTTGAAGTGTGTGGACACTGCAGCCTTTCTGGTTGGACTCCTGTAGATACACACTATCAGGGTGTGGATTAGGAGCGAGGGGAGCAGAGCTTGCCCCTGGGGTGAAGCAACAAGTCTTTAAGCACAGAGAGGGTAGGGTGGCCGGGTGGAGGGCGTCATGCTGACACCTGTTTCCTCCACAGTGCTCTGTGGAGGCCACAGAATGAACGTTCCATCGTCTCATTCCTCACAGCCACTGAGAGGCTGACACAGGCTCCCTTCTGCTGAAGCAAGCTGACTTGGGGTGGTTTTAGAATTGTGACGTCATTGGAAGTGTGATCTGAAAGCCCCCCCCCCAGCCCCTGCTGCCTCTTCTCGCTCTCACCCCTGGGTCCCACCTGTTCTTCGCAGTCCCTCCTCCTTCAGCCATCCCAGCTCTCATTTTCTCAGAGAGCAAACGTGTTGAGGACTGGCCCCCAGCCCACTGTTTGGTATCCAAGAGAAAGGCAGGGTGCTACTGTCCTGTCATAAAAATCCACTCCAAAAGTTAAAGTGGGGGTTGGCAAGATGGCTCAGTGGGTAAAGGCACTTGCTGCCAAACCTGAGGACCTGAGTTCAATCCCAGGGCTCACAGTGTGGAAGGAAGCAATAACTACTGCATATTGTTCTCTGACTCTCTCTCTCTCTCTCTCTCTCTCTCTCTCTCTCTCTCTCTCTCTCTCTCTCTCTGTGTGTGTGTGTGTGTGACACACAGAATATACAAGTGTAATTTAAAAAATTAAAAATATTTAAAATTTGTGCAGCAAAGAGTTCTCCCGGTGCCCCAGCATCTCCGGGCAGGTTAGAGGTACTGCAATCCGCTCTCCCCAGGCTCTACAGCACAGGGAGCTGCTTTTGGCTCAGGGCCTCGGAGGTGGTTTCTCCCTCAGCAAACCAGATTGTAATCTCCACCTTCGCAGCAACGTCTTACACTTTTAGAAAACAAATGCGTGAGAAATCCCTCATTTAGTTGTCTTCCAATTTCCTCCCAGCTCCGGCTCTCCCCTCTTAAGGTCCATTTCAGCCCCGCATACCGTATTTTCACAGCTCCCACCCCGCCTCCCTCTTCCAGGACTCTCCTGTTCATTTATCTTTTGCGCTCAGAATCCCCACCATTCCCAGGGATCGCTATAGGTGGTGGGTGGCCTTACTGCGTGGGCAAGGGAGAAGAAAGGGGGTCTAGGGATCCTAAAATGGCTATGGGTGCGCTTGAGCCCAACTACTTAGCCTCCGCCTGCGGTGAGCGGTTGCGGAGGTCGGGAGGAAGCGGGCTCTTGGGAGCCAAGCCACCTAGGGTGGAGGGGACCGGGTCCCTTTGCCTGCCCTGCTCTCTCTGGCCCGGGAGCTGCCTCCCTGACCTTGACGGGAGGCGAGGCGGGGGCGCGGCGCCCAGCGTGCTGTGCACCGAGGACAGTCCCGCAGGCAGGCCCGCCCCGCACCTCCCGGCGCGAGCCCGCCCTCCCGCGCCGCCCGCCGGGTCTCCTCCCCTCACTGCAGCGCTCGCCGCGCTCGCGCTCGCCCATCGATCAGCCCCTCCCTCTGCCCGGGCGCAGACTGCTAAGCTCAGCAAGTCTTGCGGCAAAGGCACTTCGGAGCGGAGTTGGGCCCGGGGCGGAGCGGGGACTCCGCGCCCCCGGGGAACAAACGCCGCCGCTGGACCGTCGCCAGCGCCGCATCCCTGCAGCCGGTCTCTGCCTCCCGTCGGGGACCGCGGATCTCTCCTGCCGCGTCGGGGTCGCCCTCGGGTGAGTCCCTATCCCTACTAAAGTTTCTCCATCCCGGCTTCTGAGTCCAGGGGCAGAAGGCATCTGGTTCCTGGGGGTGGGCGGGGTTGCGGAAGTTTGGGGCGAAGAGGACCCGGCGCCCGCACCGTCCTTTAAGGGGAGTTTGCCGCGCCACCGGCTGGAGGGAGCCGGAGCCGGGGAGCGAGGAGCAAGATCCTCTGTGGGTTTGCGCCTGGAGCTGCAGGACGGAGGGGCCGAGGGTCCCTTACGCCCTCCGGCTCTGCTCCAGGCGTTTCTGGTCCCTGGACGCCCCCACCTGCGTCTTGCCCATCCCCCGCCTGTTTGCGCCATCTCTTTTGCCCCGGGTCAAGCTTTGGGGATCTGCGGTACCGACGTCGTGGGAGGAAAGGGGAAGGTCGCGCGTGCGAGGCTGGGGGGCCAGACTAGAATTTTGGAAGTGAGGTTGGAGTGGAGCAGTCTGGGACGCGACAGGGGTGGGGATGTGTGTGTGGGTGCGGGAGGGTGAAGATGTCCCTTCAAATCTCATGACTCAGCACCACCTAGGACGGCTTGTCGCTGCTCCAGCCCTGGTCCTTGGGGGGCCAAACAAACCCTTTCTCCTTTCTGGACTCTTCCATTTGCGTTTCTGACCCGCTCCTCTCACCACCACCACGAATTTTCTGTTTTAACTTAGAGGCTGCATCTTGTCCCTGTCTCATCCCATTAACCCTGGCGCTCTGTTTCTCCCTGCCTTCCCACATTCCACAGGTGCCTTTAGCGGCACGGGGTCTCCCCTTTGCACATCCCCACTCCTGAGGTGCTGGTGAAGGTCTCCTCTCTTGGCAGGCAGTGGAAGGAGCCGGAGCAAGGACAGAGGAGGCGCTTGCCAAGAAGGACCACTGCAGTGTGCAGAGGGCAGAGGGAGGGAGAGGGTGAGGATGGGGTGGACACGAGGGAAAAAACCCTTAGGTTTCAGGGGGCACCTGAAAGAAGACTGAGGTCAGTCTCGGGGAGCCTGGGGTAGGCGCTCTTCTTCCTCTGCTGTGGGCAGAAGGCGGCGTCTCGAATGTAATAGATTGTCCTCAGTACAGTCTCTAGCTCTTCCAAACCTGGGCACTTCATCACTCTGGTGCTGAGGAGGAGCAGGATCAGAGGCCCTCAGTCCTTCCAGCTACCCCCCCCCCCATCCCCCGGCCCAGCTTACACCAAGTGTAGCCTTTCGGCTGCTTCAAAAATGTAGGAATGGACATGTCTGACACCCCTCAGGCCGAGCCAGAGGGGCAGGGGCAGGGCAGCTGTGACGCAATGGGACGTGCCTGGCAGACACTGCAAGCTTCAGCTGGTGTCAGGGCCCCAGAGGTGAGTCGGCGGCGTCAGGGGTCTGCACTAGACACACTGTGGCCTGATCTGGGGGTTTGCAGCCTCAGCCATTCTTCCTGCGCTCCTGGAGGATGGCCAGTGCCACCGGAACTGGGCTCTCCTGGGCTGCTTGGGCCTCTGCCTTCTTCTGTTCCTTGACACATCCTTGGTCTTAGGACTCCCTTTGGACCCGGGCTTCTTAGGATCTCATGGGCTTAATTTTCACGCTTTCCCTTCTGCACCTGGCCTGTGGAGGCACCAGGAGCCTAGGAACTGTGGAGGGGGGGGTACAGAGGTAGGTGTCCAGTTACCCTCTGGCGGAGCAGAGACCAGTCCCCTCGTTGTGAGTCAGCTTTGCTCAGCATCCACAAGCTTTCCCCAGCCAGCTTGGTATCCTTTTGGGGGGAGGAGGGTATGCAAACACATTTCTTCTTTCCGCTTGGGGACCTGGCATGCACACAAGACCAGGGGAAGAGAAAGGCTTTGGCATCTGGAGGTTGCCGCAGGAATCTATGACTCGCCTCACCTGTGAGTGGCATTGCTCTTCTCCTGGTCCCAGAGCACCTTTCCAGTGCTGGTCAGGGCCTCCTGACCATACTGCAGCTCATTTTAGCTGTTCACCATTTCCGGGTAGATGCCATAAGGCTGCCCCTCATACCGCAGAGATGGGGACAGGGGCAGGATAGCTGGAGAAGTCTCTTCCTGCTAGGCCACCCCAGTCCTCCTGGATCTGGGTCCATCTGACCTTGAGTGGCTTCTGCTCTATCTTTGTCCTACTCTGACTGTGCTCAGGGGAGGGGGGCTGGAGGGCATTGTGTGTGTGAAGCAGACTTCCAGGCAGACAATGAGAGCATGCCCAGGGCTGAGACACACTCGTGGATGACGGAGGGCCGAGTTGAGGAGAATACTGCTTCCTTTAGCTTTGGGATTTGCTAGGTAGACATTTCTGGTATTAGACATGTTCTAGCTAAAGCTAAATGTGCTTGTCTTGAGGTAGCTATCATAGACATCTGTCTAGGGTGCAAGGGTATTGTTCAGGGAGCAGAGTGACCAGCCTCTGTTGCTACAGAGGGCTTGGATACAGCTGGTGGTTAGAACAGGAAGCACAATGCAGAGCAACAGAAAACCAGGTGGGCTTGGGTTCTAATCCCAGGGCCAAAGTAATGGCTGGTCTTGATGGTCAGCCCGACTGCGTTAAGAAACTCGTAGGACATCAATGAGGTACCCTTTTAAGTGCTATCTATGAGAGTGTTTTCCAAAGATTAACTGAAGGGGACAGACGTGCCTTGGATATGGGGGACACCATCCTATGGACTGGGGTCCTGGACTGAGTTAAAAGACAACCAAGCACTTCCCCCTGCTCTCTACTTCCTGATCTACCCATGTGTATGTTCTCATACATACAGCCACATGCTGTTCCTGTCCCCATGCCCTCCTCACCATGATGGACTCTATCCCCTGAACCCGGAGCCGAAAACCAAACCAACCAACCAACCAAACAACCAACCAAACAACCAAAAACAAACCCAAAGCAACAAAACCCTCCCTTCTGTTCCTTTTCGTCAGGTGTTGGTTACAGCGAATACATTAATTATGAAGTGTGTGGCCACACTCATGTATGCAACAGGATTTTGTTAGACGAACCCCCTTGGTGCCATTGCTCCAGGCACTGTGGATGGATGTAGCAATGAGCACCACAGACAACGGTCCTGCCATTCTCCCCGCCCCCCCCTTTTTTAAGTCAGGGTCCCATTTAGCCACAGACGATCTTGGTCAATCCTCCTGCCTTCTACTTTTGACCTTCTGAGTGCTAGGGTTTGGGGGGTATGCTACCACACCTGGTTTATACAGTGCTAGGATTGAATCCAGGGCTTTGTGCATGCTAGGCAAACACTACCAACTGAGCTACGTCCTCAGCCCTAATCCCTGCTGCTCTGGATTTTGCAATCCAGTGGACCTTAGCGAGTTACTTAGCTACTCTGATCATCAGTTTCCACAATCATTCAATATTCCCTGTGGCTTTGTTGTTGTTACTCTTTTGAGACAGGATTTTGCTATATAGCCCAGGTTGGCCTTGAACTCACTATAGAGCTCAGGCTGGCCTCCTGATCGTCCTGCCTCTGCCTCCCCAGTGCTGGAATTATAGGCTCGTGCCCCACTTGGCTATTACTATTTTGTCATTGTTTTTTTGTGACAAAATTTCTCTGTGTAGCCCTGGCTGTCCTGGAACTTGCTCTGTAGACCAGGCTGGCCCTTAATTCAGAAGTCCGCCTGCCTCTGCCTCTGGAGTGCTGCTATTAAAGGCGTGCGCCACCATGGCCTCGCTAACTATTACTTTCTGACAGTCTGTTGTGTGCCATGCTAGGTGACAGGCATTCGGATGAGAATGAAACGTACCTGGCTCCCACACTGGTGATCACTGACGGCCACACAACTGAAGAAATAATCGTGCCGGGAACTCACCACAGCTGTGACGAATGCCATTGGTGGGAGCCTATGAATAGTGACTTGATCAGGCCTGAAGTCTTAACACTTGCAGGGTATAATGTGTAAACACTGCTAACACTGTCTGCACAGTGGTCCATGGCTCCCTGCACTGAGGCAGCCTGACATCCCCATGTGAGCATCCACACATACAACTGATTGGTTATTCACCATCTGCTCTGCCGGAAGCCAGGCCAGGAAATGGAAAGTCAGCCCTGGACTCTCTCCGTGTCCAGGAGGCCTGTAGTAAATGACATAGTTTAAGTGGAGAAATGCCACATAACAACATTTTTCCCCCTCTGAGGCAGTATAGCGACTATGAACGGATTGCCTGGGGGCCACCCGGCTCTACACATGCGCTGGCTTTGGACAAATAATTAAACTCTTATTTTCCATCATCCCACTTGTAGAATGGAGCTAAGCTTTCTGTCCCCAACATAGGGTGCTGGGGGGGGTGTTAAGTGAATGACAGCCCAGGTGAGAGCTGTCTGAGTAATTTTTAACCCCGTCAGCCGGTCCTGTCCTTGTCCACAGACAGAGTTGGTGCCATTCCAGCTCGTCTTCTCTCCCCATCTCAGGCAGTTCTGCTGGTGCCCAGTGAGCTGTTTCTTGCCAGAGCTTCATTTCTGGGAAGGGCTTATTGTCCCAGCCACCCTTCATTTCCATCTCTGGAGCAGACCGTTCAAAGAGGTCACTGGGGTGATGGGTGACTTTGGATCCCGGCCTCGAGGGACTGGAGCAGTCTCTGAATCTGGACTTTGGGGAGCCTTCAGCTGCTAGCCCCAAGAGTCAACTCCAGGAAGGGCTCCCCAGACGCACGGCGGTGAGCAGAGCTGCTGTGGGAGCTTCCTCCCTGGGTGGTCTCCAGCTGCTGAGATCCAGGATTCTGGATGACATTTAGGAAAGCAGGGTGTGCCTGGCAGGGCCCTTTGTAATGGCCACTGAACCTCCCAGCATGTGGTTTCCAAGTAGCCCCCCGGACAGTTCTTGGCCATTTCTTGGGTGGCAGCGGAACTCAGCCCCACCTGTCTCCCAGCTGTCCAGAAAGGGCTGTGTTAACTCCAGCCCCTCCATCTTGGAGCAGCTGTGGTGGGCTCCATTTGACACTGAAGAAGCAAGGGTTCTTTCTCCTCTATTTTTTATTTGGAGGGACTAAGCAACTCTCTGGAAGACAGTTGGAAAGATTCCAGAACACCTGGGGGGCCCCATAGCACCCAAGAGGAGCATTCATGATAGCCAAGGTAGGGTGGCTAGGCTACCAGGGCCCGGGTCGGCTGCCCACCAGCTCCAGGATCCTCAGTCCTGGGAGCCGGCTTCCTGCCTCTCTGCCCCCTGCCAGAAGTGATGGGCCCAAGCATGCGCATGAAGCAGTCCGGGCCCCTTGGAATCAGGAAGGCTCCCTTTTTGGCATTTGACAGGGCAGGTGCCTCTGAGCGGGGCAGGGAGTCCTCGGCCATGGAGAACCCTGTCTGGGCGGCCTATAATTGGGTTGATGTGGTGGCTCTGGGGCGGCAATTAGGGAATACTGCAATTAGAGGCGGAATTTTCCCATTACCACTTCCTGCCTCTTAATAGTGAGTGCAGGTGGGACTGTGAGCACAGCACTGGGGAGTTGGGGAATAGAAATGAACAACCGGCTGGGATAGGGTGGGTCTGGGAGGGGTTTAACCCTTTCCGTGCTCTCACACTTGGGGTAACAAAGGGGTGATTTGGTGGTGATGCGACATGGGGGCAAGGAGGCCTTGTGTTGTGTTGTAATAGCTGAGGTAGAATCACTTGAGCTCATTTTGGGCCTCTGTGTGTGTGTGTGTGTGTGTGTGTGTGTGTGTGTGTGTGTGTGTGTGTGTGTACTCATGCGCGCACACGCGTGTGTTTTAGTTAGGGTATTGCTGTGTAGCCCTGGCTGGTCTTAAATTGGGCACTCCTCCTGCGATTTCCAGGCTAGCCAGGGCTACATAGTGAGACCCTACCTAAAAAAAAAAAAAAAAGTCAATTTTTAACTGACACAGAGTAATTGTGCATACTTATGGGGTATAGTGTGGCGTCTTAATATATATAAGTGTGGTGCTTAGAAAAAGATCATTGGCCCATCACTTGCCTCAGATATTTATTGTTTGATTGTTTGGGATTTTTTGATTATCTGGGACCTCCAGACAGCCTCTGCTCCCCAAGGGTTGGAAAGTTTAAGAAAAATAGCTTTTCCATTATCGTTGACTCTGGTCCGAACTAATGGCCTAGATGTATTGGGCATCTGCTTTCGGCTTTGAAAAGTAACTGGGGAGGTTTTAATGCATTTATAAAAAGGAAGTTCTTGATATGTGGCCTCACCTTCTGCTGCCCAACCATAGCTTCCTGGAGCAGAGGAAGCCTTGGAGGCTGCTGCAGGGCCCCTGAAAAGGGTGCTCCATGTCTCAGAAGTCCACACTCCCCTGTGTCTTTTGGGGAAAGCATATTTTAAAAACACACAGTCCTTCGTGTCCCATCTTCTTCTGGCCTAGCTTCCCATGTTCACAGTCAACCATGGATCCCTTTGTGCCACACAGCTAGAGCAGTCACAGGCCCCAGTGAGGGACCTAAGATCACATGGTGGAAGGGATGGAGGCCTGAAGGAGGAGAGAGCCACTCACCATCCAGCCACAGCTCAGGCATGGAGGGAGGCCACGTGAAAACCTATCGGAACTGAAACCGAACCCGGCCTCCCCACTGGAACCCAGAGAAGTTAGAGGTAACCCTCTAGAGCAGGGGCTGGAATTCATATGAGCAGGCGGTGTGGAGTTAATTGGTGGGGGAGGGCTCCATCTCCCGGCGTTACCTCCCGTGAGGAGAAAAGGCATCACTTTAATAAGGCCGCCCGAGTTCCAAATCAATCCTGGCATTGCAGGAGGCGAAGGGGGAAACACAGGCACGAAACTGGATTAGCTCTTTGATGCTGGGAACCGTGCTGGCTGTGGTGGGAGGCAGAGAAGGGAGGACTGAACCTGCCCTAGAGTTCTGAGGCTGTTAGGGATATCTGGCTCCCACCCCACTTAGTCCTCTGCTGGTGAAGGGGTGGCAATGTGCTCAGGGGGAGGAGCCAAGGCTCTCACTACTGCCAGGCTTGGAGATGTCCCTCGGATTTCCCTGGAGTGGGTGTGAGATCCCAAGCTCCTCAGTGGGGGAGGTGATGGGAAAGAGGGAGAGGAGATGCTTGCCTCACCCCAGCTGTGCCCCACAAGTGCACATTCTGAAGATCCAGTACAAAGGGAACACATGTGGCCAGGAGTTGGGGTGAGGGCTGCTTTCCACTTCCATAGCTTCAGAGCCCCCCTTGGAGAATACAGCTAAGAACACAGGGGCTGCTGCGGCCACCCCCCCCACCCCCCGGGACGATCACACAAGGTGCTCCATGATAGCGGCTCCCAGACTGTGCTCCCTGGGGGAGTCCCCAAAAGTTTTCCAGAGGGTTCCTTTAAGGCAGTCAAGGCAGTTTCAGTAATAGCCCCAAAGTGCTCAGCATGTTCGAAAGACTGCTTTGATGCTAAGGCAGTGGTGGATGAGGACGCTGATACTTCGTGTGGGTCGAGGCTGGGGCTGCACCAAACTGTCCTGGCCGTTGTACTCTTCCCCGAGACATGCTAAACAAATCATCAAAGAAGGTCTTTGATGAAGCAGTCAAGATGCTGATTTCACAAAACCTGGACCCTGGAAGGAACACACCTTTTAAAATATTTTCTGAAATGAATAGGGTAGACTATACAAAGCACTTCTGTCCACTGCAGTGGGAGCAGAAGCCCAGCCGCCTGGGCATCCATTTGAGTTACCAGCTGAACTAGCCACTCCTTTCATGGACCGATGTTTTCACTTGAGAAAATGGCTGAGAAATAGTCACTCAGTGTGAGAGTTGAGTGGACATTTCTGCAGAAACAAATGGATTAAGCCTATCATTTCAAGAAAAGCATCCAGCGATGTCTGTTACCAATGGTGAAACTCAAACCTTCAAGCAAAAGTTAGAATTTTGGAAAACATATCTGTTGTCATGAAAAGGACTCATCAGGTCGGAACAGTGGGAATTTAATAGATGAGTGGTTAATATTAGTGAAGTTCGTCAGCATTTAGAAGAGCTACGCTACTGAGCAAGATGCTGTCACTGAAGATAAATAGGAAGCTCTAGAACCATCCTCAATCTTCCACTGAGTGCAAGGTCGATTCCATATTGCAGTGATCCTAGAAACCGCCCCATGGTAAATTTTGATGTCGTCTCAAGGAATATCTGCAGTGATTTGAAAAACTTTACTAAATACTCTTCCCTCAGCCAGGTGTGGTGGTGCACACCCATAACCCCAGCACTTGGGAGGTGGAGGCAGGAAGGTCAGGAGTTCGGGACCAGCCTGGACTACATGCAACTCTATCAGATAAATAATAAATAAAAAGAAAATGGGGCTGGCAAAATGGCTCTGTGCATGAAGGTACTTGCCACCAAGCTTGATGATTTGAGTTTCATCTATGGGACTCCCATGGTGGAAGGAGAGAGCAGACCTCTGAAAGTTCTTCTTCGGCTGTCACGTGAGTACCACGTGATACATGCCATTCCCCTGACAATAAATAAAAGTCAAATACCCTGTGTGAGTTTGAGTCTTCCTTCTTTCCTTCCTTCCTTTCTTTTTTGTTCATACCCCTTCACTGTGATAGACTGAACATGATCTGGGATGGGAGATTTCAGTCCCTTCCAGTAAACCAGGCATTGAAAAAAACCTGGACATATTTCTTATGAGATAACACATCTAGATGTTTTTCATCTTAGGAAACATAGTCTTATTGAAATCTATTGTGTTCACATGTAACAGATTGTTCTTTTTTTCTTTTTAAGATTTATTTGTTTATTATGTATTCAAAACAGGGTGCCAGATCTCATTACAGATGGTTGTGAGCCACCATGTGGTTGCTGGGGATTGAACTCAGGACCTCTGGAAGAGCAGTCGGTGCTCTTAACCTCTGAGCCATCTGTCCAGCTCCAGATTGTTCTTGTCAGTCAATAATGGAATAGTTTCTCAATCTGGAGTTCTAATATGGAAACTCTAACCTACATAAGTGCATGTTGTGAATTGGGTCCTCATTAGGCTAGTGTTGAGCCACTGCCCTTAGGGTAGTCTTTGTGGGAACTGGGCACACAGAGAAGGGTTTCCCAAGATTTAGTACCTCAGAGAAGAAGTTAGGTATGTACTTGTGTCTCAGATGTCCCAGTCACCTGGCGGCCTTGCTGGGCACCCTGCAAAGAAGAGTGGGCAGAGCCAGAGCCAGCCTGTTGGGAGAGCCTTAGGGCACCCATTCATTCCACAGGCCTCAGCTGGCCTCTGGGGTTCAGGCCCTATCCCATGGCTGATCTTGTTAGAATGAGGGAGGGGGATTCAGGATCCCCCTCAACATCTCAGCCCCTGTTCTCCTAGCTTAACTCTGCCTTGATCTGCCTTACATATTGGAGTTCTTAATATTGAGTTTCATTTAAGCTGTCTTATCTTTAGAACAAAGCATAAGTCTTTGTTCTAAAGATAAAGCCCAAGTCTCAGAACTTGAGGCAGGAGGGTTGAGAGTTTTAGTCTAGCATGGGTTGCATAGTAAGTTCCTGAATAAAAAACAAACAACAACAACAACAAAAAAAAAAAAACAACCCAAAACAAAACAAAAGGGGAGACGTACAGTCTGCAGTGATGCGGTCAAGGTGCCCCAGGGGGCAGTTGCTGTGGCTGGAGGTGTTTTAGCTATGATGCTGGGTGCTGGCACGCTGGGAACTCAGCGCACGGTCACAGGCAGGTCCACAGGCTTTCCTGCTCATTCTGTCTTTGTAACAAGCCTCAGCCCTGCAGAGGTAACATTTACAGATCTGAGCTCTGCCTATTTGAAATGTCGGAGTTGATGGCTTTTAGTGTATTGGTAACATTGGACAGCCATCATAATCCAGTGTTAGACCCCATGATATTTCACCCCCTACAGAGGCGGATAGTCTCCGAAAGGTAAAACAGGCCCCTGGGGTTACCCTGCTGGTGGACAGCCTCCAGACCAGTATCC